ATGATGTACATGTTCTGGGCTAAGGCCCCAACAAGCCTCGTGCCCGCCCTAAGTGAAGGCGGGCCAGCAAATCAACAAGAGCCCTCTGTGCCAACATTTCACGAAGTGGGGTCCATACACTTGCAGCACGCCAGTTGGTTGGAGTGCCCCGAGTCTCGGGTTTCAGCAAATGCTGAAATGCCCAAGCCTCTGAGTTAGTTAGGCCATGGGCACTCGAATGTGAGGCCGACAATGCATGCTGGGTATAGAGGCCGAAAATGCCAAAGGGGAAATCGGCCCACTGTGTGAATCTGGCTGCAGGCCTTGATGAAGGAGGCACAACTGCATTGCCCCGGGACCCAACTGTATCGAGTTGGCTTCAGCCTTTGGGTCCCGGGCACAGGCTGAAGGGAGGCCGCCCACATGCTGCACTGGCATATAGGCAAGCAGGGCGAGTGGGCAGGGATCTTGGCCAATGCTGGCACTTGCGGGCACGCTGCGCGGATGCATGTGTGCTGCGCTGTGCAAAGCAGTGTTGCGCTAAGAGCAAGCAGGCCAGCGCTAGGCGGTAGGGCGCTGCCTGCATGCAAGGCACTGGCGGCCATAGCCGGGCCGCATGAGGGTGTAGGAGAGGTGAAGGGCGAAGGTGGTCTTCGGAGGTGAAGGGCGCTGTGTGGGTAACAAGGGAGAGTGTGGGGAAGAGGACACGTACCTGGGGGAGGTGGAGGTCGACATTGGTGTTGACATCATCACTCGCTGGTAGTCAAGTTGTCTAGTTGCTTTCATTGTTGTAGTTGTAGGATAGGCTGTAGAGTAGATAGGGCGCATGGCGCCATTCACAAGAGAGAGCGACATTTGGGTTATGCTGTTGGTGTTGCCCTGTAGGGCATAGACATTGACTCACGATTCTTCTGTATCATTCTTAATTGGATGGTTACTCGGTTCCATTGTGCTATCTGCTGTGGCTTTGACTACTTGGACTTCAGTGTGATTTTGCATTCTGGATTTCTATGCTTCGTCCATATTCATGTTGCTTGCATACATGTATATATATATATATATCGTCAAACAGAACGGCCGTCGGTCAACAGTAGGGGCAGAGACTATAAACCGTAGGGGCAGAGAGGGAGGGGAGGGAGAAGAGGACAAGAAACGAGGGAGGGCCTGTGACAAACTGTTTCGTCGAACTGTTTCACGGACTCGTCAGGCGGCTGTATAGGTATCATTCAGCAAAGGAGGGTATGATCTTTCTCCTTTAGGAAAGGAGCTAACCTGTTTTAGGAAACCGGGCATCGGAGATAGACAACACGTGAAGAAAACGACGACATTTTCTAAGGAGGAAAGTTGTTGAGCCTCGCTCCACAGTAAACAACATTTTCTTTATGTATCTGGACTTCGTGGTGATCCAGATACATTCGGACTGACAAACGTTGTGAATGTATTGGGAGCAATACCACATCCAGATACATTTGGTATGTTGCCGAGCGAGGCCCAGTTACTTGTACACTTACCTGTGTACTTTCCTTTTCCGGAAAACAGAGTAATTAGTATGTGCAGTTGCCGCTTACTGCTTACTACACAACATTTGAAATGTATCTGGGCTTTATCATCATCCCGATACATTCAGACTGACCAAACATTGTGCATTTATCGAGACCAATATCACATCTAGGTGCATTTGGAATGTTGTGTAGTCTAGCCGAGGCCCTTTTTTTTTATTTTTTTTTTTTAATTTTTAATCGAGGCCCATTTACCGGAACGGAATTCCATTTGCGGAAGTGAGTAATTATGTGCAGTTGCCGCTAAGGCACTCGCTCCACTACCCGCCATTTTTTTTTGAGAAGAAAAAATTATGTATGTTTCCATTAAACCTGGAAAGGTACGGAAATGTACACACACCATTTTTCAGATTTGCGGGTAATAATGAAGGGATGCAGTCAAGCCGCCAGGACTCCATGAAATCCAAGTGGTCCAAAAAAAAAAAAAAAAAAAAAAAAGTGGCGAGAAATCGGTTAAAATCGAGGCTGGCGGGAAAACACGATAGACTGCGACTGGCGGGAAAACGGTAACCTGTGGCTGGCGGGAAAACGGTAAATTGTGGCTGGCGGGAAAATGGAAAATTCTGGCGGGAGAAGGGAGCCAAGACCCTTGCAGATAATTTTGGAAAATTTTGGCGAGAAAATTTGTGCAAAAAAAAAAAACACAGAAGCTAAAAAAAAGACTCACTCGGAAGTGACGGCGTTACCGCGGCCGACGTATGGGCGCGCTTTTTCTTCTTTTTTTTTTCGTTTTTTTTTTTTGCTTTTTTTTTGTTCCTTTTTTTTTTTTCCGTTTTTTTTTGGTCTTTTGTCGGGGCGTGCGGGCGTGTTGGTAGGAAGAAGTGGAGCGCTTTCCAAGGGAGTGAGTAGTCCGTTGTAGGGAAGAAGGGTATTCCTTTTTAGGAAAGAACCCTGTCCCGTTTAGGGAAGACGAAGCATAACCCCTTGTAGGAAAGAAACATATCCATTCTAGGAAAGAAGCATATCCGTTTCGGGAAGGACACGTACCCGTTTAGGAAAGGAGAGTAAACTTGGAGGGGGCTGGGTGGCGGCGGCAGGGAAAGAGCCTATTCCTGTCGGAATAGGAGCATTTCCTATTGTGGAAAGGAGCGTAATTCTTCTTGCATAACGGAGAGGTGTTTGTGGGTGGGTGGGGGGAGGGAGGGGGTATACTATGCGTGAAGGTAACCTTTTTTTTTTTTTTTTTTCCAATTTTAGTCTTGAATTACAAGGCTTTGTCATAAAGATGGGGTCATTCTCTTAAAGGGCTAAGAGCACACCTTTTAGGAAATGTGTGTTCTGGTTGTACTCATACTGTACTGTTTCCTTTTTTTGGAAAGCTTCCGAATTAGGAAAGACATTAGGCAGATTCGACAGGTACTTGAATTGGTTGGGCTTAAAAGAATTAGGGCGAGATCCCACTGCCAAAGAGATTGGCTTGAAAAACTGAATCTGGACATTTTCGTGGAGACGTGCAGATCCTTGCTATTGTCGTGCTTTTCTGGATCTCAACATAAAACGCAGCCAGATTCAGGCGCTTCGTCCAATTTTCTTGGTTAGTGGGAGCGCTTCTTGATTTGGGGGTGTTGTTCGCGTGGAGCGGTCACAAACGTTCCCCAATTTGGCTAAGTTTCGCGGAACCTGATTTCCGGATTTGGTGAAGTCGCAGCATCTTTCAGGGAACCTCCTTTTCATTTGGGGTTGTTTGTCCTTTGGGTGGGCCTTCCTGCAGTGCAGCCGCTGGTTGTCCATCGCCCTGAGTTCCGGTGCTGGCACGCTTTCCATTGGGTGCCAGCGTTGTTATGACAGCAGGCGTAGCTCCTTTGTGGTACCTGCCTGGCTGGCTCTGACATTCAGAGCGTCACAGCGTGCCCTCGCGAGCCTTAGGAGCAGCAGTACGACTTGCCCTTGATTCCCTTTTCTTCTCTCTGCAGGCTCTACTCGTGCTTTTCACATGGGAAAGTTTATTGTTTCCCGCCATGCCCTTTAACTCGCGTCGTCTTTCTCCTCGTCGTCCGTCTACACGAGATCCTTCACCGCGCTGCTGCGCCCTCGACGTCGTCCTGCCCCCTTCCTTCCTCCTTACCTTGTCCCCCTATCTTTTTCGCTGCTCTCGGCCTTCGGCTTTGTTGGACTTCTTTTCCATTGTTAACTCCTTGATCGCGGTCGATGGGGAATGGTGGCTGAGAGTAATCGACGTGGAGGGCAGTGACGACGACGCAGAACAAGAGTGGGGATAGGGGACCTGCATTGCAATCCTGTAGACGATGAGAAGAGCGGAGGCAGTTTCCGGTAAGTTGTTGGTGCTC